TAAACACTTTCTAACGTGCTATTATTTTCACTGAAGTGTGGTATTTCCTTCAAATCATGTAGGATTTGTCAAATTCATTGTGCTCCTTAAAAACTTGATAAGATGAAAATAGTTGATCCCTTTTCAATATATTCAATTCTCATTTTTCTTGTTTTTTTATTTTCAATACAAAAATCCAGTTTTAGAACGGAGAAGTTCGCTAGACTGGAGGACAATACGAATAGGATAAAAGGATCAATGAATATCGTTATATCTGGACTAAGGAATATCTTTGTGGTAAACTTGTATCTACTATCACGTATTCAACACCTCCAAATTGTGCCATCTTGTAGCTGCATCATAATTTCAGGGCGACTTCTAAGTTGAAATAAATCACTCAGATACCAATTGCTTTGAGTCCAAGAGTATCTTGTGAAAAATGTCCACATCGTAAACATTCCCATTCCACTCGTTCTGAACCACAACACACTTCGGGTGCGATCGATTGATGTTTGATTCAAAATCACTTCAAATCGCAATGAAAATTGACGAGTGAAGAATGACAAAGCCATTGTAACTTAACAAATTGGACTCGTATTGATTGAATTATGAAAACTCATTGTGAGTGAAAAATGAAAAACTGAAATGAAGAACAGAAATTAGAACGCTAAAAACAATAAGATGGATTAATTAGCATTGAAATTGAACGAGCGAATTGCTTGAAGAATGGCTGAACGAATTGCCGGAGTAGGAAAATACGAAAACGAAATGAAAATGAATGTGATCAGTCGTCGACTCGAAACAAGTCGATTGGAATTGGCGGAGGGTGTTCCTTTTGTAGGTAAATGAATCCATTCAATCATTCGTTATTCGTCACCACCACCTCGAAACAATTTCTCCTTCTTCACCGTCAAAACCTGAATTGTTGCTATTACGTCACATCAAAGCTGACTGATCATTGGAGAAGAGAGAGAAAGAGTAAAAGATGTGAAATCTTTCAGCTATTTATGGCGAATGCCTTTTCAATGAGTAATAATAACTTAATTAACCTGATCAAATATGGCACCATACTTCTTTAATTCGACAATTTTTCCTGCCGTTTTGCACCAATATTATGCTATGATTTCGTTCAATTTGTTATTTTCAAATAATTCTTTAATCATCAATATGTCATCAGATATTATGCTACATTTTGTCTCTCAATATCGACTCATCCGTCATGCTGTGGAATGTTTTTATCCGTCATACATTATTCGTCGAATATATGACAAAAATGATTTCGCTTCTGTCATCATTACATCCCAAAAAATACTACCAAAAGCTAGATTTTTTCCCAATTCCTCATCGAAATCATTCAGTTCAGTTGAAAAAAGAAAGGAACAGAAATTATTGCTTCCTTTCATTTGTTTACGGTTGGTTCCTTTTTTGTTCATGCAATCAAATATTTCACTTATTCTGATGATCTTATTCACGCCTTCAGATAGATTTGTGATTAAAATTGTGGTGGAGCAGTTTAGATCAGAATTTAAGAATCAAAGATTATTAATCACATTTTTGGAATTATTGCGCCACTCCATTCAGCACTACCCAAAAAACGAGCAGTTGATGAAGATGGCGAAAAATAGCATGAAGAAAGTTTTTTCCGCTCACCAATTTTGTTCCACGGCTAATTCGCACGTTTTATAGGGAAGATTGGAAGAAGGTTACCGAATTCATTGACTTTCGTAAACAATCAATCAAATTGCATTCAATTACAGTTAATTTTCCAAGTATAAAATGTAATTTTCGATAAAAATTATCGACACTTGATTTCTCTTCGATTCTTTTGTCGCGAAATTCGGCGAGGAGAAATTAGTGATCTCTGTTTGTAAGCAAAAAACATGCATTCCACCTGACTGCAAGAGTTCATCACCGTAAATTGAAAGGCACTGAAGAAAACGAATGCATTTGTTAAAATTTCTCATACTAGCGTAGACGATATTAATTCCCATTCACACAAGTGAAATAATTCACTAAATACCGCGCTCATAATTCCGATGAATATTTCTTCGTGAAGTCGGATGCCTGAGGAATCTGATATTTTAGACTGAATCTAATTCTGCAGCAAAAATTTTGATTGATTTCTGTTGCATAGTCGTATCAGGAAAAATTTATTCTTGAATGCAAAAAAAGGTATTTGCATTTATCACTAACATTTCAATATTTATAGCAGCAGTTTCACATGAATGAATAAGAAATACAAGTGAAATTATGGTCTATGGGCTTGGTAGTAATAATTATGGTGTGGCACGAATCATTTGCTTTCCTGTAAAACTTCCTGAACAAGTAGGAGACGGACTCTATAATCCATAGCAGTTTCGATCCTTTAGTTGAACGTGAACGTTAACTTATAGCCATGTTCGAATTGGTCGCATAAGCAATAGGAAAAAATGACAAACTCAGCATTGATCTATGTCGATCGATCGTATTGACAATAATTACGACAACTTAAACTATTTCATTTCAAGGTCATCGTTTCAACCTAAAAACTTCTTCATCGTCTCAAGTAATGTGATTCGTCACTCCAGTTTCGATTGTTGCCAAACAATTCCGCGAACTAACACATCAACAGAAATCCTTCAAATCATATCAACAATTGATAAGATCTTTCGGATGATCATAAACTGAGAATACAACATTCTAGGTGGTTTTTGTGAACACAATTGGGAGCTTAATTCATCAGCGTTAGGTTTGTCGCGTTGAAGCGGTGTACAAGTGCATTTACAAAACAATACGGATGTAACAAATGATGTAACAATACAGATTGCACATTATATGAGGAAAAACAAACGAGCAATTGATGAGTAGTTTTGCTAGTAGCAAAATACTTGCTACCACTAAAGATTCAAACATGATCACTTTTGCTCACAATCAGCAGAACAGCGATTTCATTTCAAGTTGAATACTTTCAAATTTAATATGTGTAGTATGACAGTGCAGACCGATTATTTAGTTAGGGATTAAAATATTTTAACACTTCATCGAGTGTGTATCATATTTCATTCATATGACAAAAATCACTCACTAAACCAAAATTCATCAGATGATTCAATGAAATTTAGGGCCGTAAAGACATAAAGGCGATTAGCTGAGTACAAACTGATTAATAAACGATACTTTTGAATGGATATTAAATCAGGATTCGGATATTCCATAAGCCCTAACAGTTTGTTGGTCCATAATGGGCAGTCAGTGCAAATCAAACGTGAATCATTGCGACAATCGCCTGTTTGGATTACAGATTATGTACAGGTAAGTAAGGTTATTTTATAGTGTTTCGAGTATGATTATGGTACAAAGGTTACAGTGCCGTACAGTTTGTGGCAACCGATGAAGCTACGTTTCTGATGAATCAACTGATTGAACGGTAAACTCCAGTAGGTGTCCGGGTCAAGACTCGATTCGAACCCTGGACGATTGATGGTCTTCAGTCGTCGCTCTAATTTTCGTTGTGCTCTGAAACGAAAGCATTTCATCGCAAAACATTTTACTTCATAGTAGATAATTCCTTGGCTACACTATTCAGC